TGGCACCACCCGAGATGCAGGAGTTGTCCTCTCAGCTTCAGGAGCTGTTAGGCAAGCAGTTCATCAGACCGAGCAGTTCGTTGTGGGGAGCGTCGATACTGTTCGTCAAGAAGAAGGATGGTTTACACCGGATGTGCATTGATTATCAGGAGTTGAACAAGTTAACGGTGAAGAACCGTTATCCCCTTCTGTAGATTGATGACCTCTTTGATCAGTTTCATGATGTATCTTGTTTCTCCAAGATCGATCTAAGGTCCAAATATCATCACGTGAGAGTGATAGAGGAGGATGTGGAGAAGACAACATTTCAGACTCGTTATGGGCATTACGAGTTCGTGGTAATTCCATTTGGGCTCACCAATGTGCCCGCGGTGTATATGGATTTGATGAATCGTGTGTGTAGGCTGATGCTCGACCGATCTGTTATTGTGTTCATTGATGATATCTTGGTGTATTCCAAGACCAGAGAGCGACACGAGGATCACCTTCGAGAGCTTTTGGGAGTATTGAGGTAGGAACAACTGTATGCCAAGTTCTCGAAGTGTGAGTGTTAGTTACGAGAGGTCCAGTTCCTGGGACATCTCGTTAACCAAGACATGATTTTGTTCGATCCGGCCAAGATCTAGGCCGTGATGCAGTGGGAGGTTCCAAAATCTCCCTTAGAGATTAAGAGTTTCTTGGGTTTGGCGGGATACTATCATAGATTTATTTAGACTTCTCTAAGATCGCAGTGCCCCTCACTCTTCTGACGAGGAAGGGAGTGGATTTTCGATGGGGCCTTGAGCAGCAGGTTGCTTTTGAGACGCTGCGACAGAGGTTATGTGAGGCCCCGGTGTTAACCCTTCCAGAGGTGTCGAGGATTTCATGGTATTTTGTGACGTATCCATCACTGGTTTGGGGGCGATCCTTACGCAGAGGGGACGAGTGATTGCTTATGTTTCTCGGTAGCTGAAGCCGCATGAGGCACATTATCCTACTCATGACCCAGAGTTGGGGGCAGTGGTGTTTTCCCTCAATATTTGGAGACATTATCTTTATGAGGTCCATTGTACTATTTACACAGATCACAATAGTTTGTGATATCTTATGGACCAGCTGAACCTGAACATGAGGCAACATAGGTGGCTGGATGTGGTCAAGGATTATGACTGCGAGATCCTTTACCATCTGGGTAAAGTGAATGTGGTCGCAGATGCCTTGAGCCACAAGTCGGCTGGATCTTCATCTGGAGATATGTGTATGAGGATATCCGTTGATTCTCCACTTTTGGGTTTGATCAGAGAGGCATAGACAGAGGGAGTTAGGAAGGAGAACTGGAAGCAGGAGAGGATCAGGGGCTAGATTGATAGGTTTGTCACCGATAGTCGGGGGTTGTTGACCCGGTGTGATTGGATTTTGGGTTCCAGTTTCTGGTGGGATCAGGTAGATAGTGTTGGAGGAGGATCATAAGTCTCGCTTTTCTATACACTCGGGGGCCACCAAGATGTATCGGGATTTGATATTGAGTTATTGGTGGTTGTGTATGAAGAGGGAGACAGTCTAGTATGTTGAGAGGTGCTTGACTTGTGGGATGGTCAAGGCCGACCATCAGAGGCCACATAGAAAGCTGCAGCCTTTGAAGGTTCCCATGCGGAAGTGGGAACAGATCACCATGGATTTTATCACCAAGTTGTCGAAGAATTCCAAGGGTTTCGATGCTATATGGGTCATCGTGGATCGATTGACCAAGAGTGCCCACTTTTTGGCCATCTGGGAGAGCTCTTTGGCCGAAAAGTTGGCCGATGTGTATGTTCGGGAGATTGTTTCTCGTCATGGGGTTCTAGTCTCCATTGTTTCAGACCGAGATGTTCGGTTCACTTCCAGATTGTGGCAGAAGTTCCACGAGGAACTGGGGACGAGGCTACATTTCAACATTGTTTATCACCCACAGACCAACGATCAGAGTGAGCGGACCATCTAAACACTTGAGGATTTGTTGCGGGATTGTGTTATTGGTTTTGGTGGGAATTAGGATTCCTACCTACCTCTTACGGATTTTTCCTACAACAATAGCTATCACTCCAGCATTGGTGTCTCGCCTGTTGTGCTCTTGTATGGTCGGAGATGTCGTACCCCGTTATGTTGGGGAGATGTTGGTCATAGGGTTATGGGAAGGACCAAAGTAGTACTTCAAACCATAGAGCTTATTCAACAGATCAGGAAGAGACTGCCAACAACTCAGAGTCGGCAGAAGAGTTATGCCAACCGGCGCCGATCGGAATTGGAATTTTAGGTCAGTGATATGGTATTACTGAAGGTCTCACCCTAGAAGGGTGTGATACGCTTCAGGAAGAGGGGGAAATTAGGTCCCCAGTATAATGGATCATTCCGTGTGATCTCAAGGGTAGGCACTAGGCAGGGTGGCCTACCGGTTGATTGCTCGAGTGAGCTCAGTCAGATCCACAACACTTTACATGTCTCTCAATTGCGTAAGTGTGTGTTGGACAGTGAGGCAGTGGTCTATTTCAAGTGAGGGAGAATTGTAAAATCCCGATGTCAAGATAATTTCAGTTTCAACCCTATATTTGAATAATATTTCATTTTGACCCTTAGGTTTGAGGAGGGTTGCTAGATCGGCCCATAGTGGCAATATAGTAATTTTGACCAGGATTCGTACGCCACACGTACGTTATGTACGCTAGGCGTACTAGGGCGCGCCCTTGTATGCTGGGCGCACACCTTGTACGCGGGACATACGTGAAGAAAGTGCAAACCCTAATTTTTAGGGTTTGGTCCATATATAAACACCATTATAGCCTCATTTCTCATAACTTCATCAGCCTCCCTCTGTGAAAAATGAGCCCAAGCTAACCCTAAGTGAGAAGAGTGTATTTTGAGCCCATTGGAGTGTTTTGGAGGTGTTCTTGAAGAAGAAGAAGAAGGTGGTGAGAAGAGCTTGGAGCATGGAATCATCTTGGATCTGAGATTATCTTCTTGTTAGCAACCTCCCGGAGGTATAAAGTTCACAACTTGATCACTCTATCTTGTAGATCTAGACATTTCTTCCTTTAAGACACTTTTTGTCCCAAATATGATGATTCTTGAGCATGGCATGTTCTTGACCCAATAAGTCATCCTTTCAGACCTTAGGAGGGGTCTTAAGTCATAAAAATGTGGTCTTGATGGTCAGTTTTGCTCCATGCATGCTATAGAAGGTATTAAGGCATTAAGATGTTGAGATTTTGTGTATTAGGCACTTAATGGGCATGCAAAGTCATAAAGTTGGAAACTTTATGACTCTTGACGGTAATTTGGCTTTGGATCTGACTTTGGACGTGAAGATTTGGAGTATTAAGCTCTTAATGGGGAAAGGGCTGAACAGGGCACGTACGTTGGGCGTACGAAGTGGTACGCTGTGCATACATGGTCAGCGTCCCGTAGTCTGGTCAACCACTGAGTATGCCCCATGTATAGAGGATTACGCCCATCATACTCGGTTGGGTCGGCTTTGTCGGGTTGGCTCGGCTAGGTGTTGACTTGACTTCTGACCGTTGACCAAGTCGACTAAGGGAATTTTGGGGAAAATATTATTAATGGATAATGTTTTGATATTTAGGATTTGGTTTGAGCCGATATTTGGGAGTAGAATATTGATCAGCTATTTGTCAGATTGTGAGGTGAGTCTTCCTCATTGTACTTACGGGTCAAAGGTACCAAGGCCGGCCCATTGGCTTGATATACTGTTATACATTGACTTATGATATGTTGAGTATGGAATAGATCTATATGATTATATGATAGTTGCTGATATGCATAGACCGGTAGATCTGTAGGACTACCTGTGATTTCTGGCTGCATGATTGTCTGTCTGTTGAATATGTTTGATATCTGTTATATGTCGACATATTGTGTTAGGTTGAGACTTTACTGCTATGTCTGTGAGTCAACAATGGGGGTATTCCAGTCCGATGACTGAGTGAACCCGAGGGTATTCCAGTCCGATGACTGAGTGGGCCCGTTGTATATTGGTATTCTAGTCTGATGATTGAGTGGACTTGTTGTATGTTGGCATTCCAGTTCGATGACTGATTGGGCCAGGGGTAATTCAGCCCGATGGTTATGGACCCGTGGGTATTCCAGTCCGATGACTGATTGGACCCATCATGCTTTTTTGTGTATGATATGTTGTGTGGTGGTACTTTGGGGTAAATTCACTAAGATTTTGCTTACATTTTTTGGTTATGGTTTCAGGTACTTCAGAGGACCGTGGCAAGGCGAAGGCGTGACCGTACACATCCTGATTTTATGTTGTTGATCTTGAAAGACTTTGATTTTGAATAATATTTTGGAAACTATGGTTTTGTAAACACTTTTATTAGTAAATGAGGTGTTTTAAAAAGTTTAAATTAGTTGTGATTTTTGAGATGTTAAAGTATGGAGTGCTTAAAGTGTTAGGAACTCTTAGGTAATGTTTTAGCTTTATGAAGGCTTTCATCCCCTCATTTTTTGATGAAAAAACAATAGCTTGCATGCCCTCCCTCATTCTCTCTAGTTTTTATTAAACAGTTGAAGTTACATGGTTGCATTTTGCTCTCTTTAAGTCATACTTTTGTTATGCACTTAAAGCTTAAGAGCTTAAGAGTTTTACACAAAGAACTAGCATTCTAAATCAAGTTGAGTCATTTTTGGTGTCTCTAAAGTTCCACATTCTTCATCAACTTCCAAGCCTCCCAAGAGGACCCAAAGAACTACAAAGGTTATTATTTATTCATCTCTTCTTTGTTGGTGATTTAATCTTTCTATAACTTGCAAGATGATCATTGGTGGGTGTAATTTGTTATGTAATTTTCGAAAATCATAAGTCTTCCGTTTTCCATTTTACTAGTTTATGAACTATTTTTGAAATAAAAACCCAATAGTGGCTATTCTTCTTAGGCATCACACTCCTTTCTCATATCTTTTGGAGGAACGATATATCTTGCTTCTGGAAGAACCAAAACTTGTTGCAAATCAGTCGGGTAATGCTTCATCTCCTACTATTATTGTTTCTTAACAAGCTAGAAATTCCTCTCCTTTTCATGGTAGTCAAGCAGGTCAAAATAACAGTTACTGTGGGGGTTAGAATGGTGGCCGTGGAAGAGGTCTTGATGGTGTTCGATCGTTCCAAGCTCCTCCGGGGTGGGGTTATGTTTGGTTCCCTCTCCATCCCGCTTCTTCTCGATTTCACCCTTCTCAAGGCCTTTTGTCGAGTCCATCTTCTATCAATCAGCAGTCTAACAACCACTAGCCCTCTCATCCTCAGTAGTCGAATCGACAACAAGAACGATCAAATCAACAACCTTCATCCCAGCAAGCATTTGTTGCCCTTTCAGACTCCACACATTCTATGTGGGCATGGTTCTAACATCCTACCTCTGTTGTGATCAGGAAACAGCCCTACCTGAGATGTTCAATACAATGAGTCTAAATTATTCGTCCAACAACGGGTGGTTCATGGATACCGGGGCAACCACTCATCTTCACTCTGATGCATGCATACTCCATTCTCTTAGAAGTAAAAGCTTTATTTCACCTTCAGTTTTAGTCGGAAATGGATCTAAAATTCCTGTAAGTAGTTCGAGACATTCCGTTCTTCTCCTTACTAACCCGTATTGGCCCCTTATCCTTAAAAACATTCTTATCACACCTCAAATAATCAAAATCTTGATATCAGTTCGTCAATTCAATCGTGACAATAAATGTTCTATAGAATTTGATGCTTTTGGATTTTCTGTGAAGGATTTTCAAACTCGTAGAACTCTCTTCTGCTGTGATAGCACTGGCGATCTATATCATGTCACGCTTCCATCTCCTCAAGCTCTTGTGTCTTCCTCAAAATGGCATCAACTTCTTAGTCACCCCGGTCATTATGTGTCCTGGCATTTAATTTTTCAAAATTTGATTCCTTGTAAAATCAATAAGTTATCTTCTTCATGCCAGTCTTCTCGGTTAGGCAAACATGTGCGTCTTTCTGTTTAAAGGTTCTGATACTATTGCTACCTTTCCATTTTAAATCGTTCACTCGGATGTTTGGACATCTCCTATCAATAGTAATTATGGTTTTAAATATTATGTGTTATTTTTAGATCAATACTCTCATTTTCTTTGGGTGTACCCGTTGAAAGCTAAATATGATGTTTACTCTAAGTTTGTTAATTTTCAATCTTATATTAAAAATTCAATTTAATTGTGAAATTAAGTAGTTTCAATGTGATAATGGTGGTGAATATAACAATACCCAATTTCACCCGTTATGTGAGTCTCATGGAATTCAGATGCGTTTTTCATGTCCATACACTTCCCAACAAAATGGAAAGGCTGAAGGAATGATCCGTACCATAAACAACTCAATTCACTCTCTTCTGTTTCAGGCTTGACTTCGTCCTACATACTGGGTTAAGGCTCTAAATATGGACACTCACCTTCTCAATCTTCTCCCATCCACCACTCTCAACAACATCTCTAAATATCAAAAACTGTATAACCAAAAACCTTCACATTCTCATTTTAGAGTGTTCTGGTGCCTTTGTTTCCTGTACATCAATGCTCGAAACAAAACTCTCACCTCAATCCACCCCGTGTATCTTCTGAGGATACCCTTCTAATCATAGAAGTTTCTGGTGTGTTGATCATTATCACAACACCATTATTATATCTCATCATGTGAATTTCGATGAAACTAGCTTTCTTTTCGGTTCCATGTAACCCGATACTGCACCTTCCTACACCTTCCTTGACAATGAGGTTGACACAAATCACATCGCTTAGGAGTTTTTTCACTTCTCGATAACCAGTTCCACTACTAATGACTCTCTTACTCCTTCTACATCTCCCACAACAATCGACTCCATGTCTCCAACTCCATCTAATGCCTCATACTCTTCTCATCTTATCTCGGCAAACGATTCGTCGGCTGTCTCGTCTTCTGCGACTCCCTTACCCTCTTCTACTCATCCAATTATGACTCGTGCTCATCACAGAATCATCAAGAACATTCATAAACTTAATCTACACACTCAATATACTTCTCTTGTCCCTTGAAATTACTTAGAAGCCTTCAAAGATCCTAACTGGCTGCAAGCCATGCAAGATGAATTTCAAGCTCTTATTTCTAATAGAACGTGGGTTCTTGTGCCTCGTCTTGAAAATGCTAATGTTATTAATTTCATATGGCTGTTTAAAAAGAAGGAACATTCATACCTGTCGTTAAACCGACTACTATATGCATTATTTTCTCTTTTGTTGTATCTCAACATTGGTCGGTTCGACAACTTATAACGTCCCATTTTCACAACCAAAAATTTTCATTTTATTAGAGTAAAACTTCCCAATTATAAATCCATTATTAAGAAAACTGTTTTTTCCAACATACATTTATTGAAAATCAATGTAATATTAAACCGCATAATCTTCGTTGCTGTTGATGAATGTGTACCATTACACTTTCGCCTTCCCATGATAACCAATGATACCTGAAACAATAAACAACTGGGTAAGCACAAAGCTTAGTAAGTTTCCCTCAAAATACCCCATACGGTAAACATAAAAGCATTCATAGCGACCCATAATCATCGGATCGGAATGCCATGACCCAATCAGTATGCATACTGGAATTCCAACATGCAACAGGTCCAATCAGCCATCAGGCTGGAATACCCAGGGTTTGTTGGCCTAGCGCCTCAACCAAACCATTCTTCCTGAGCCTCCGTGCCTACGGCTTACATCCGGTCCACACCATGTATCTTGGCCTACAACACAAAATAGAGGACCGCCTCAACCCACTACCACCATATGTCGACATATAAACAATCAAGGGTCAAGTAGGCACATAATACATTCAAACATCAATCATACACCTCCCTACCGCCTACTAGTCCTCTCTCAACACACTATCTCGCTACCAGCTAACCTCCATGAAGTGTGTAACCATAAGTAACCAGAGGTGAGATAGCTACCCGAACAAATGATCTTACTCTAGAGCCACAACTAAACAAGGAACATGCAAGAAAGCCTAGATCAAGAGTTCTCAAGCTATCCTACATGGCTATATACAACCCCTAGGTCATTCCACTAGATTATAACCAATATACCACTACTACAACATCCTATCATATAAGGATATATACACAGATCTAGGAGATCACTATAGCACAACAACCTCCTATATACCACGATACAGATCTAACAGATCACTACAACATAGCAACATCATATTTACCAGGATACATATCTAGACTGAAGATGGAGCCAACAGTGAAGACTTATTGGACTTTTAGCAAAAAGCATGGGCCATGCCAAAAACACATGGTCAAGAAACATTGCCATGCCAAAAACACACGGGCAAAAGGCACGTGAGCAGTTACTAAAAGAGAGGAGGACGTCATTTTTCACACAAAGACGGTTTTTGGAGCAATTTTGGGCGATCTTGGGCAAATTTGGGAGATTTCTTGGAGCTTTTGAGAAGACCAAATCATTGCAAACACTTTTGATTTCATTTTGTAAGCATTAAACATTTTCAATTCCATCTTTCTTTTTGATTTATTTGTACTTAGCCATGTGTGGCTAAGTAACCCTAATTTCTAGTTCTTGTTCAAAACATGTTGATTGCTTGACTTGAAGCATATGATTTGATGTTTGATTTGTGATTCTATTCTAGTGATTATGTTTTTTTTAAACTAGAATCCTTGAATTTGATTTGTGTTTGATTGGCCACTTTCATGAATTGAATTTTTGTGTAGTTAATTAACTTTTAGGGCACCCAATCGTTCTATTAAGTTAATAATTAGTAACAAAAAATAAGTTTTCTTATTGTAAAACATATATCACATGTTTTCACACTTCCGAGCGTATGAGAAGAAATGAACATTGTTGGGAAGCTTCTACAAAACTTAATGCAATTTTTCAACACAATCTAAGAGCGTGTTTAGGTTGAATTAGTAAAGCTAGGTCTAGTCAAAGAGCGTGTTTTGGTTAGATAATTTGGCAAACGAGAGGTATTAGAGCGTGTTAATATCTTCCAGTACCAACTTAGAATAACAATCATGAATTAGATCAATTCATAATCAAGTTGAACAACAACATTGAGAACTAGAACTAGAACCCTTCAATCAAATTGTTTACAAGTTTATTTCATTTTCTGCATGTTTTTAAAGTAGACTGTTATTTTATTATTTTACTTTTGCAAACAAAACCTCCCTTTTGTAATCAAAGTACCTTGCGCAAAGAGGTATAGACTTTTATCCCGTGTCTCTGTGGTTCGGCCGTGCTTGCATTGTACTACTTTTTAGTGCATTAAAGTAGTGTATTTGGAGTCCGTTGTACCCCTATAATTTGTTGGGTTTGACACCCCTAACAAATTCGCGCCGTTATCGGGGAAACGGTATTACTAATTCTTTATGCCTAGATCTTTTCGTATAGGTACACCATTGCCAATTGACACGGAGATAGAGAAGACTGCAAAGAGGTTACGGAAGCAAGCCAGGCTTCGTAAGAGGCAACCGGGTTCCGGAACTTCTTCATCATCTACTCCTCCGGTCATTTACATTTGGGAGGACATACCCCTCTCAAGTGTGTCAGAAACTGAAACAGAAACCCTCTCACTCTTACCTCAACCATCCTCATCCAGAAGTATCATTCTGACCTCTTCACCTACTCATAACATCCCAAACTCCACACCCACAGAAACCTCAATTCCTACTCATACCATGGGAGATAACCGGGGAGGGAATCAAGGTCCTCCAAATCCACCACCCCAACAAAGCCTTCGCCAATGGTCAACGCAAGAGGTTACTCAATAACCTCTTTGCATCACATATCCGACATCCACAAACCTTGAACTAAAATCCGGACTCATCCTCTTACTCCCAACCTTTATAGGCCTAGAAAATTAAGATCCCCACAAATTCCTCATAGAGTTCCATGTTGTGTGTGTGTTGGCATGAAACCACACAATGTCACGGAAGACCAAATCAAGCTTAGGGCATTCCCCTTTGTGGTGCAAGACTCAGCAAAAGATTGGTTTTATGACCTTCCACCGGGGACGGTCAACACATGGGTAGACCTTGCACGCCTCTTCTTAGAAAAATAATTCCCAAAAATGAAATCCTAAGCCCTACGAAGAGAGATAATTGGGATCAAACAACACAAAAGAGAATACTTTCATACATATTGGGAGAGGTACAAAAAGCTTTGTGCCCGTTGCCCAAAGCATGGTATTAGTGAGTATCAAATCCTATAATACTTCATTGAATGCATGACTCCTTGAGAAAGAAGACTTCTTAATGCTTCAAGTGGAGGATCTTTGACCGATAAGACCCCAACTAAGATTCGGGATCTCATAAAGAACATTGCGGAGGATTCAAAGCATACGAGTCAAGATGAATAT